CCCCAAAACCCCAAAACCCCAAAACCCCATAAGAATATTTCTGATAAAATCTTAAGGGATACGTATTGTGATTTAAATATTGTTATTATATAAAGTTTAATAAATTTATTATCATACTTTAAGCAGTTCAAGTTGAATATAGAAGCTTACTTTCATCATTAATTTCGATTTAAAAGAATTATCTTCATTGAGTTAACTCAGAACTCTATCTATTCTTCCTTTTGCTTTTATAGTTTATTTTATCGTAATACCATTTGTAAATTTATGTTGGAGTGAGATCAAGTCTTAATGATAGATCTTCAATCAATTTTCTTGACCACGACTTTTCTTTAGAGAATTCTATCTCCAATATCTTAATTTGTTGCTTATTTTTCTAATGCCTTGTGAACGAATTTCTTTTCACATCAGATTTTTCTTTCTTCTTGCTCACCTTTGTCAGGAAAAGAGATTTCTAATGAAGTATGGTAGGCTTAATTTATTATGGAGATAGATGATGATGATCTTTTTCTGTAGGTTACAAATCATTGATCTTACTCTATAATGCTCTCCCTTCACATAAAAATTCAGTAAATTATTGAGAATCTTAAATGTTAACGAGAATATCTTACCCTGATTCAAATTAAACACAGATAATTTGTTTTAACAGATGTCTGGGGAACCTTAAATACTTTCATATATATCATCAATATCATCACAATCTTTATATATAATAGCATAATTTTATTTTGGCATTCGAAGGAAAAAGTTTGGGTCCTTTATTTGTTAATTATTAAAAGTATACCTTATTTTCTTCTATGATCATTCTAGTTCTATATTAAGTGATTTTATCCTGATTCTAAAATTGATTAAGTAAGTAAGTTGCTTACTATGGAAACTTGATCAAACTGAAAATTTTACATTATGATTTATAATTATTTCTTAGAGTCTAATTTAGATCCTAAGTTCGAAAAATTCTTAATCTTATTTTTTTATCATCAAATAATTTAGCATGTCCTTCAACAAGATTATATCAGAATTTTCTAGAGAGAAAATTGAAAATTCCTGTGGTACTATCTGACTCATTTTGTCATCTATTATGATCTGATGCAATAGTACTTGTTATAGCATAATATTTTCTTTGATAAACTAAACACTAGCTGACCTGCTAATAATTGCTTTTTTTTCTGGTTTCGAAATTCGCTTAATTAATTTTGAATTCGATTGATTTCTTAATTCTCCATATGAATGTCTTCTATTTTGAGCTATGGGGTTTTGGGGTTTTGGGGTTTTGGGGTTTTGGGG